AAAAAAAAGTAAGTGCGCCTGGGCCACACTGGGGAAGTGAAACTTACGTTACATACATATCTATTTTGTCTCATAACCAATATACATACATACACATGTACATACATACATACATCTTCTTTTGCTTAAGGTTATATTTTTTGTCTTTTTTCTATCTCAACCCCTATTCGTTCTAATTAAATTTATGTTATTCTGTTTTACTTTAACTGCATTTTTATCTTTATGCTCTATCGATAGTAACATCCAGCAAAATATCGATAACAAAACCGAAAAAATATCGATAACAAAATCGATGAAAAATTCGATGAAAATTTCGATAGCAAAATCTATTAGAAACACGATAAAAATATCCATAACAAAATCGATAAAATTATCGATAAAAATATCCGTAACGAAATCGATAAAAATATCGATAACAAAATCGATAAATATCGATAATAAAATCGATAAATATCGATAACAAAATCGGTAAATATCGATAGCAAAATCGATAAACATCGATAAAAAATCGATAAATATCGGTAACAAAATCGACAAATATCAATAACAAAATCGATAAATATAGATAACAAAATCGATAAAAATATCGATAACAAAATCGATAAACATCGATAGCAAAATCGATAAAAATATCGCTAACAAAATAGTTAAAAATATCGATTACAAAATCGGTAACAAACCGGTAAATATATCCATAACAAAATCGATAGAAATGTCGATTATTATATCGATAATTTCAGAAAATATCGATAGCAAAATTGATAACAATAGCGATAAAAATATCGATAACAAAACCGATAAAAATATCGATTATTTTATGGATAAGTTCCGAGGATCCCAAAAATCTCTAAAATCCCAAAATAGTTCCCATATTGAGTCTCTGTGTCTCTCTATATATCCTTTCCTCTTTAATTACCTTATTTTAACCTTTTTTGGCCTATCTTCATCTTTACTTTTATCGGTATCCTCATCCTTCCTCTTTGTCTTCACTTTTATGATTATCATTTTCTCGTCTACAAATTCCCCTTCACCTTACTCTTATAGTCATATATAAGTAATGTGTTTAAATTTACCTTGGTCTTCATTTTTGCCTTTATCTTTACGCTGCTTTGTTTTTGTTTTTATTTTTACCCTTACCTTTATCCTTTTCTTTATCTATGTACGTAGTCACCTTTACTTTTATTCTTGTATTGGTCTTTTTCTAAGTGTTATTTATCAAATTTTTGTTAAATTAATACCATATGGGTATTTCCTGGAAATTTTTAACCAAGAGCAAAAAAATTAAATTTTTCCTGGACAAAGTTTATAGATGCCAATCGACAACTACATATTTTGTCTTTCAT